CGGCGGCGGCGGCGACGGCGACAAGGTCGATGTTTCCCCCCCCTGAGCTGGTCACCCCTAAACGGTGGCCTCAGGGGGGAGGCGGCGAGCGGAGCAGGGGGGCAGCCTCCACAGCCTCACTTATTCCGCCTCCCTCCTCCCTCTTCCCGCACTCCTCCTCCTCCCCCCTCTTCCTCCTCCTCCTCCTCCTCCTCCTCCTCCTCCTCCTCCTCCTCCTCCTCCTCCTCCTCCTCCTCCTCCTCCTCCTCCTCCTCCTCCTCCTCCTCCTCCTCCTCCTCCTCCTCCTCCTCCTCCTCCTCCTGCAGGAATCTCGAAGGATCATTCTGGGAACCCTGTGGAATCCTCAAGAATCTTCAGGAATCTGGAATACAAGGGAATCCTGGGGCCCCCTTCTGAGGAATCCAGAGGAATCCACACGAACCCTGGGGAACCATAAGCATCCTGGGGTAGTTTTTCGAAATCCGGAGGAAACCGCACGAATCCTGGGGAAATCTACGAACCCTGAGGAATCTGGAGGAATCCCCCGGAATCCTGGGGAATCCTTGGAAGTCCAAGTGAATCCTGAGGAATCTGTAGGAAGTCTCAGAAATCCTTGGGGATCCTGTGGAATCCTAGGAAACCTCGAGGAATCCGAAAGCAGGAGGAGGAGGAGGAGGAAGAGGAGGAGGAGGAGGAGGAGGAGGAGGAGGACCAGGAGAACGAGGACCAGGCCGAGGACGAGGATAAGGATGAGGACGAGGACGAGGACGATGACGAGGAGGAGGAGGACGAGGAGGAGAAGGAGGAGGAGGAGAAGAGGGAGGAGGACGAGTTCGAGGACGAAGACGACGACGAGGAGGAGGAGGAGGAGGAGGAGGAGGAGGAGGAGGAGGAGGAAGAGGCGGAAAAGGAGGAGGAGGAAGAGGAGGAGGAGTAGGACGAGGACGAGGAGGAGGAGGAGGAGGAGAAGGAGGAGGAGGAGGAGGAGGAGGAGGAGGAGGAGGAGGAGGATCAGGAGGAGGACGACGAGGCCGAGGACGAGGACGAGGAGCAGGCCTGGCCGCGGGGTGGCCTCCAGCCAGCGCCCCCCGCGCGGGCGCTCAGCGCTGGCGCGGTCTGCCGGCCCGCGCCGCAGACCGCTTGGCCCGCGGCCGCGCACGCGCCAGCGAGGGCGGCCAGCCTGGGGCAAAAGTTTCTGGGGCCTCGCCGTCGTCGTCGTCGCCGACGCCGACGCCGTCGCCGTCGCCGTCGCCGTCGCCGTCGCCGTCGCCGTCGCCGTCGCCGTCGTCGTCGTCGTCATCGTAGTCGTCGTCGGCGTCGGCGGCGGCGGCGGCGGCTTCGCGCAGCCGCGGTGGCTGCGCTAGAGCTCCGCACGTGTCGCCCTGGGTCAGAGGCGGGCGAGGTGATTCTCCTCCTCCTCCTCCTCCTCCTCCTCCTCCTCCTCCTCCTCCGCCTCCGCCTCCGCCTCCGCCTCCGCCTCCTCCTCCTACTCCTCCTCCTCCTCCTCCCTTTCCTCCGCCTCCTCCTGACTCTCCTCCTCCTCCTCTTCTCTTCCTCCTCCTCCTCCTCCTCCTCCTCCTCCTCGTCCTCCTCCTCCTCCTCCTCCTTCTCCTCCTCCTCCTCCTCCTCCTCCTCCTCCTGCTGATCGTTTTCCTCCGGGGTCTAGGCCTCTAAAATGGGGTTGGAAGACCGCGCCGCATCGCCGGTGCATCGACGATGCGGCTCGATGTCGAGCCTGATTTTCGCCACGCCGACGTCGCCGATGCATCGCCGTTCTGGGGGCGGCTGGCCCCTGGCAGAATTTTCCAGGGCCGCGGCTCTCATGCGCAGTGTAAGGGGGGGATAGGCTCAGAGTTTCGAGGTTCGTTTTCTGAAGATTTTTGATCGTCCCGGGGCGCCCTCGTGGCCATGGCTGGGTCCGCCTCGAGATGCTGGTCAGACTGCACCCCAGGTGAGGTCCATGGAGCGCTCTGTGGCCCTTGAAAAAGGAGCGACGCCAGGAGGGATGGACTCAGGGGGGATGCATCGACCCCCACTCGCGCGCTGATCGCCGATTGGAACCAGACAGCCCGCCGCACCCAGGAACGCGCGGATTCGCTATCGGGGCCCGGTCTTCGGGGGCGGCCAAGAGGGGGGTGATGACCAGGGGCAGAGGGGACATCATGGCTGGGGCCATGAGATCTCCTCAGATTTTCTGGCTCTCTCCTCCACCCCCCCCCGTGGGCCGCGCACATGCCTCAAGTAATGATTTGTGACCATCCTCTTGCACCCCACCCCTCTTCCTCTTGGACGCCCCCGAGATCAGAGGAGGGCGAGTTGAGCAACGAAAGGATCAAGGTTTGCCTTACAGCGGCTGCGCCTGGCCGAGAGCGTTCTGAGGGTACCCGGATCGGATCGTCCCGAACGGCCGCAAGAGAGCCAAGTTGAACCCCGTAAGCCAGGGTTATGCATCGACCCCCGATTGCCCAACGATTGCCCATAGAGGCCCGATAGCACACTCCGCCCAGGAACGCTCGGATTCGTTATCGAAAGCCTGCCGCAGGATTTTCGTGCGTTTCGAGAGTGTTCGCAACACGAGGCTGGCCTCGTGGACTGGTGGGCCGAAGGGGGGTCCCGAGGGAGAGGGGGCCCTCCTGGAGCTATTTGTGTGCGGCTTTGAGGCCTCCAGAGGCCCTTCGAATCTAGGCGCCGCGAGGCCGTCGAGAAAACGGCTTAGGTTGAAGAGCTGCACCTGGGGAAAAAGCTCCGGCGGCTCGTGAACCAGGTCAGCCCCAGGGGCACGAAGATAACCGCGCTTTGCGCGTCGAGGCTTGGGGCCTCGCGAGGGGCGTCGCGAGGCGCGACCCGAAATGAGATCAGGCGAGATGCTTGACGACTTCTGCTGCCCCTCGGCTCGCGCTGGAGCATGCTGTAGCCTCCACGGGCCCTCCAGGAGTTACTTCGACATGCCTCAGGCCATCTGGCTTTGCCCTCACATCTCGATTGGAGAAGTGTCGTCGAGCCCTCAGGGAGAAGCAGGGGGGGTCAGCCCAGAAGGGAAGGGTCCTGGCCTGTATCCACATGCTCACGTCGCCCATCTATTCGACGAGGCGCTCAGGGGAACACGCGTGATGCTGACCCCTGGGCTGTCCCCCATCCACCCCTCTTCCCCACCCGAAGAAGTCCAATTGGGCCTCCACACCTCCTCAGAGCTGGGCGGCGTGCACACGTCCGGGGTTGCGTCTATCGCCAGCTTTCCGCGCCATCTTGCAGCCCCTGGGCCCTCTGGGCCTCGTGGGTGGTGCTCTGGAGGCCGCGGGGGGTCCCACGCGAAGCCTGGGGACGTTCTTGGTCGGGGGGCCTTCATTACACCGCCTGCGTCGTATTGAAGGGCTGCGGAGGACCAACACACGCTGGCGCCAACACACGCTCTGAGGACCATCGAGACTGGCAGGGCCTGGCTCTCAAGGGCCTTCGGGGAGCAAACAATGACGTGATTATCATTTTCGGAGATCCGCGCGGATTTCTCGGAGCGGCGCTGGGGCCCACTCATTGGCACGCGGAGCGCGCCAGGGGCGCCGTCGTCGTCGTCGTCGTCGCCGTCGCCGCTGCCGCCGCCGTCGCCGCCGTCGCCGCTGTCGTCGTCGTCGTCGTCGTCGTCGTCGTCGTCGTCGTCGTCGTCGTCGTCGTCGCCTAGGTGGCGACCCTGGCCGCGGCGGCGCCCCCCGCAGCCGCGAGGCCCGCGCAGGCCTGGCCCTGGCGGGGCCCGGCCGCCGCTGGCCCGCTGGACGGCTCGCTGCGGTCCTCCTGCGGCCCGCTGAAGCCCGGTGGCAGCGCGGCGGTGTCGACCGCGCCGTCGGCAACGTCCGCGCCCCTGCGGCTCTCGTCGCCGTCGTCGTCGACGTCGTGGCGGTGTCCACGGAAGCGAAAACATGAATTCTGGGGCGTAGATTGGGAACGGGTCCTATTTCCATACGAAGCTGGTGCGCTCCGTCGCCAAACCAGGCGGCACTGGCCTGAAGTTTCGGGGGGTACCTTTCCCGAACCGTGGATTTGCCGCCCATGCGCCAGGTCCACAGATCCGTAATCCCCTACATCATGATGCGTTTACGACGAGGACCCCCAGAGATCTCGACCCATTCCCTCGGACCAGCCTTTCATCCTGGGTTTGTTTCGACATCTCGGTGGCTCGGCGATGGCCCCCAGAGGCTGGAACTGGCAAACAACAATCCGTCGTGTTTTGTGCCACGACGCGAGGGGGGTCTGGGTCGCGCGTCGGCGTCGTCGTCCGTCGTCGTCCGTCGTCGTCGTCGTCGGCGTCGGCGTCGGCGTCGGCGTCGGCGGCGTCGGCGTCGGCGTCGTCCGTCGCGGTCGTCGTCGTCGTCGTCCGAGGCTCGAGCCCGCCGCGGCCGCGGCGGCGGCCCCCTCGCGGCCGCTGGTGCTGGCCGGCGCTCCGCGGGGCGGTCGCCACACCCCGCCGCTGGGCGGCGTGCCGGCGGCGGCGGGCGGCGCGGCGCTGCTGCTGGCCGCCGCTCCGCGGGGCGGCTGCGTCGCTGCCCCACCGCCGGGCGGCGTCGCGCCTCCGGCGTGCTTCGCGCCGCCGGCGAGCCTGGCGTCGGCGCTGCCAGATCCCGAGAGCATCGACCGGCAGAGGGAGGCCTCGGCCCTGCGCGGGAGTGACCTTGCACCGGAGTGAGCTTTTCGGCGGCGGGCGTGTGGGGGAAGTAAGAAGGGGCCTTCTCAGAAGGCTCGGAAAGCACCCAGCCGTCCGAGAAGTTTTCCGAGCCCTCCCCGAAGCCACAGAACATTTCTCAGAGGGCGCGAGGGCTTCAGAAGTTCCGCCGCCTTCTGAGAATGCCTTCTCCTTCTTACTTCCCCCTCTCGCTCGCCGACGAACTTTGGGATGGGCCCACAGGGGTCCCGCCAGCACTGGCTGGCGCGCCTGGGTCGCGTTGAACTGGCCTCCCCCGCGGCCCCCGTAAGCTTAAGCCGCGCATCGGAGGCTACTCTTGTCCTGGGCCACTCCTGCGTGCAGCCGAGAGGCATACGAGAGCTGCCTGGACAGGCAGGTTCAGCAGGGGGAGGAGCCAAGGGAGGAGTGGCATCAGCAGAAGCTGCTTCAGCCAGCCTCGCGCGGGTTTCTTGGGATCGGCGCTGGGACCCCCTGGCGGCGCCTCGGGCGCCGACCCTGGCGCGCTGAGCGCGCGGATGGGGTGGTCCAGCGCCGACCCCAAGAAATCCGCCCGAAGCTCCGAAGGCCTCTGATTGTGCCACCTTCCCCTCCGAGAGGAGGTGCTGTCCGAGCAGCTGGAGCAGGACAACAGCTTCGTCCAGTCCGTGGCCGAGCAGCTGAAGGATCGGGTGCTGCCAGACGTGTCCACGGCCCAAGGTGCCCCCAGGATTTCCAAGGAGGCCGCCGCGGCCTCCAGAGGGCCCCTCACCAGGCACAGAGGGCCCCAGGAGCTCCACAATGGAGAGGAAAGCCAAGGACACTCTGGGGCAGGGACACCTCGAGTCAGAGAGTGAATTCAGGTGAATTGCCTACCCCGCTTTCGCTTCCAGCCTTCTCGTCAAACAGCCTGACTGTTGCGGGCCACCCCACGGGTCGCTTGGTATGGTTTGGCTCCCGCTTGGAAGCGACGGTGACCACAAGCGAAGTAGGTTCGTGCGCCTCTTATGTAGCAACTCCCGTCAGTGCGGGACTTTCTGTGCAATCCTGACGGCACCCCTTGCAACTAGGTGACCAATCGTCGACCAGGTTGCCCCCAGTAGCAATGGTCGACTTATATAATTCTACCCAAGTGCTTCGTTTATTATGCGAGCGGCGAGCAGGCTCCGCTTGCGTTTCTGCTGTTTGTTTTGCCCACGCGTCCCTCCAGATGCATGGCCATGCTCGCTCGAACGGAGCAGTACGCGGCCGAGTCGGGCTTGCCACCCCACGGATCGCTTGGTATCGGTTGGTCCCCGTCTGGAAGCGAGGGTGGTCAAAATCGAGGGTTTTTCTTAGTACCCCCGACAGGAGCAGTACGCGGCCGAGGTGGACTTCCGGAGAGCCACCCTGCGGGTCGCTTGGTTTTGTTTGGTTCCCATTTGGATGCGAGGTAGGTTCATGCGCCTCTAACCTCAGGAGGTCTTTGATCCTGCTGGAGCCCCCCCCCAAAGCTCGTAGCTGGCAATAAACTGTGCGCGTCCCCGGTTCGCCCCGTCCTTGGAGTAGGAGATAGTACGACGGCGACACCGACACCGCCGACGACGACGACGACGACGACGACGACGACGACGACGACGACGACGACGACGACGACGACGACGACGACGACGACGGCGACGACGACGACGACGACGGCGACGACGACGACGACGACGACGGCGACGACGACGGCGGCGGCGGCGGCGGCGGCGGCGACGGCGACGGCGGCGGCGACGGCGACGGCGACGGCGACGGCGATGGCGGCGACGACACGACGACGAGGGCGACTGCGGCGGGGGCGGAATAATTGTTTGCCGATTGTTCTTGGGTCGACAACTTTCGAGTAGCCCCCGAAACACAATAATCGTTTGCCGATTTTGCTTGGGGGGTTATGAAAGACCTGTCGCTTTTATTGGGAGTGCCTTATGGCCACAGTGCCGCCGACCCTGAAGGGGGGTGACGACGACAACGACGACGACGACGACGACGACGACGACGGCGACGACGGCGTCGGCGGCGACGACGACGACGTTGACGCTTTGGAGCCCTTCTTGGAGCTCTCTGGGGAGCCTCTTGGGCTCTGTTAGGGGGCCTTGTGTAGCACCCCCCGAGAGGAGCAGTACGCGGCCGAGGTGGACTTCCGCACGAAGGAGCAGCTGCTGCGGCTCCGGCAGCGCTACAGCGAGCAGCTGCAGAGCCTGCGCCAGGCGGCCCACCGGGAACGGGCCGCGCTGTCGCTGCAGGCGAACGCTCTAGCCACCGAGCACAGCAGGAGGCAGTCGGAGGAGGAAAAATACCAACACCTACAGGTGTCGGAAACAGTTAAGCAGCATTCAAGCACAACAGATGGCTTGAACCTGGGTCACCTTCGGGGACGCGAAGGTCACCCGCGGGGGCGATCGCCGTGGCCACCGAGCACAGCAATAGGGGAACAAACAATTACATGATCATGCAAACAAATGTCGGAGCTCCTCGCAGATTTCTTGCATCGGCCCAGCGCCAGGGAAGGGGGGTCTAGCGCCGATCCGAGAAATCCGCGTGGACCTCTAAGTTTTTATGTTTATGTCACTGCTTGTTTCCCTAGGTAAGATCGGGCCGCCCGAAACGGTGTGGTGACTACACCGAGTGGACAGTCAGTGGGGATTCAGGGTCACCGGACTGTTTTGGGACTCGGGTCGTTCTCCGAGGACGTCTCGGGCGACCGGGACCTACGAGGTCCCAAGGCCGTGCGGTGACGGACCGCTCGTTAAGGTCTCCTGGGATTTCGAGGTCACCGTGCGGTCAGTCACCATACGGTTTTGGGACCCCGCGAAAAACAATCCCAGCTTTGGAGGGACACCCTTCTGCTCTTCGTGTTTGGGCTCCGCACCTTGGCACGCACTTCATGTCGGGTATCTCGGTTAGGCCTTCGGCCTCGGGCGAAGGGGCGCGTGTCCTTGACCCACGTTCTCGTGGCCATGTACCGATACCGCTGCCCTTTCCTCGTTTTCGCCTTTTTCAGGCCTCTTGGGAGGCACGCGTCGCCGCAGCTGGGTCCGCATCGAAATTCATCTCAGAACGCACCTTGGGAGAGGTCCACACGGAGTGGTGGCGTCGACATTTCTTGGTTTCCCCAGGCAGGCGCAGGACGACATCAACCAGATCCGCTACGAGATGGCGCAGAAGCTCCATCCGAGGAAGCAACAAACTGCCTGAACATGAGCATTCGGAGCTCCGCGCGCATCTCTTGGATCGGCGCTGGGCCCCCTTGGCGGCGCCACCCCTGGCGTGGGGTCCCAGCCCAGATCCAAGAAATCCGCGCGGAGCTCCGAATGCTTCTGCTCAGGCAGTTTGTCGTTCCTCCATCCATGGGGCCCAGTCGTCTCCCGCGGCGGTGACGCGCACCACTTCCGCGCCGAACGGCGTCAAGACCTGGAGGCTGTAGCGTGACGCGGCCGCGCCGGCTCTCGGCCTGGACAGCCCCCGCCTCGCGCGGTGAGCAGGATAGGCCGCAGCTCGCAGCGGCTCAGGGTGTGCACGAGGTGGCGCTGTCTGCGCGGGGGCGGAAGCGCGGGGCTGCCTGGTCTCAGTGGAGGGGGGATGAGAGGCTGTGTGTGTGTTTCCTGTTCGTCCCTCCTCGGCACTTCCGCCCCGGCCTGCACGGTCTGATCGCTCCCCGTCTTTCTCCTCTCGCTCTTTTCGCTCTTTCGCTTTTCGGTGCAGCCCACCGCTCGCTTTGACTGGCGCCTGACCGTCTCGCACCACCTGGCGCACGCGGACTTATAAAGTGTGTTGTTCCTGCTCTCGGGATGGTGCGCAGCTCGGGGGGGAGGAGCGCCGCCCTCCTGCGGCCTCGCCCGACGCGAGAGCGTCGGCCTGGAGCCCTGCGAGGCTGCGCGTCTGAGCCACGGGCGCCGCCTGCCGGCGCCGCCGTCGTGGGGCGCGCGAGCAGCCGGGCCGTTGCGAGAGCGTCGTGAGGCGGCAGGCTGTGCGAGGGGTAGCCGCGGGCGCCGACCCGAGGTCGGGCGACGAAATCTACACATATCCACTGCACCCTGGCCAGGCTCATCCTGAACCCAGGAGCTGTGTATACGCCCCCCTGGCCAAGCCAGGAGGGCGTGTCGTATACACCGCTGCTGAGTTCAGGATGGGCTTGGCCAGGGTGCAGTGGATAAGTGCAGATCTCGTCGCCCTACGAGGCAGGCAGCGGCGGCCGCGCAGGGTCGGCGTGGCCGCGCTGGTCCCCGCCAGGGCGCGGCCGCGGCGGCGCGCCGTGGCGGCAGGGCCGCGGGGCTGTCGCGGAGCCTCCGAGGGCCGCGCGCTCGCGGCGGGCAGCTGCCGCGGGGCCGCCACGGGCGGGCGGCGGCGCCGCCGAGGGCGGTTCCCTTCGGGCGCGGCGAGCCGCAGGGGCGGCCGCGTTTCGCTCGGCCTCGCCGCCGCCGAAGGCGCCGCGCTCGTGCCCAGCGGACGCACACCCGTGACGCTTCGGCAGGGGCTGCCGCGCGCTTCGCTCGACCTCCTCCTCTGCCTCCTCCTCTTCCTTCTCCTCCGACTCCTCGTTCTCCGCCTCCTTCTCCTCTTCCTCCTCCTCCTCCCTCCCTCCCTTCCTCCCTCCCTCCCTCCTCCTCCTCCTCCTCCTCCTCCTCCTCCTTTTCCTCTTCCTCCTCTTTGTTCCTCTTATTAGTATGAGTATTATTAGTATTATTATTATTATTTTTATTATTATTATTATTATTATTACTATTATTATTATTATCATTATTCTTCTTCTTCTTCTTATTCTTCTTCTTCTTATTATTATTATTATTATCATTATTGTTGTTATTATGATTTCCCTTCCTATTCGTACTCATGCTGCTCGCCCCCCTCGCCCTTTAGCCTTCTCCTCCTCCTCCGTCTCCTCCTCCTCCTCCTCCTCCTCCTCCTCCTCATCGTCATCATCATCATCATCATCATCATCATCATCATCATCATCATCATCATCGTATCATCATCATCATCATCATCATCATCATCATCATCATTCATCATCATCCATCATCATCATCATCATCATATCATCATCATCATAATTACCATCATTCCCATCATCATCATCATCATCATCATCATCATCATCATCATCCCTCCTCCTCCCTCCTCCTCCTCCTCCTCCTCCTCCTCCGTCTCCTCCTCCTCCTCATCGTCATCATCATCATCATCATCATCATTATCATCATCATCATCATTATCATCATCATCATCATCATCATCATCGTATCATCATCATCATCGTCATCATCATCATCATCATCAGTATCATCATCATCATCTTCATCATCATCATCATCATCACCATCATTACCATCATCATCATCATCATCATCATCATCATCATCATCATCCCTCCTCCCTCCTCCTCATCCTCCTCCTCCTCCTCCTCCTCATTATCAGCATCATCACCATCACCACCACCCTCATCAGCATCAGCAGCAGCAACATCATCATCAGCATGAGCAGCATCTCTATCACCATAACCATCACCATGACCATCCCCTTCACCATCATCGTCATCATCACCATCATCATCATCATCATCGACATCATTATCACAAGCAGCAGCTCCATTATCGCCATCAACAGCATCGTCAGCATCGGCATCATCATCATCACCATCATTATCATTATCATTATCATTATCATCGTCATCATCCTCACAATCAACCTCATTGTCAGCATCACCATCATCATCGCCATCATCATCACCATCATCACCATCATCATCATCATCATCATCATCATCATCATCGTCATCATCACCATCATCAGTATCATCATCATCATCATCATCATCATCATCATCATCATCATCATCTTCATCTCCATCAATATCATCATCAACATCAACATCACCACCATAATAATCATACTCGTAATCAGCAGCATCGTCATCAGCATCAGCATCATCACCATCACCATCACCATCACCACCGCCATCATCATCATCAGCATCGTCATCATCACCATCACCGCCATCATCATCATCATCATCATGCTCATCATCACCATCCTCATCATCATGATCGATCATCATCCCCCGAATCATCATTCACTTCGGGCTTTTTTCCACTTCCCTTTACATGCGGGGTCCAGCGGACGAATGACAGCGGGACCGTCTGTCCTGCTGGACCCCAGGTCCGGCAATTCCATTCAGGGAACTAGGAGGGATATTTTCTTTTTCGCCGCATGCGTTGCGGATCAGGCTGGCCTGGGGATAAGACCCGAGCACTCAATCAGGTCGACCCCCTTGCGCACACGGCGTGGCTCCAGGATGACGTTATGTAGGTGAATAGGTAGTGGGGGAGATCGCCTTAAAGAGCGATCGTCATCAACATCTCCATCATCATTCACAACATCATCATCACGATCATCATCATCATCATCATCATCATCATCATCATCATCATCATCATCATCATCATCATCATCATCATCATCATCATCATTATCATTATCATCATCACCACCAGCACCATCATCATTATCATCATCATCATCATCATCTTTATCGTCTTTATCGTCTTCAGCATCAACATCAGCAGCATCCTCCTCCTCATCATCATCATCGTCATCGTCATCGTCATCGTCATCATCAGCTCATCAGCATAATCATCATCAGTATCACCATCATCATCGTCATCATCATCACCATCATCATCACCACCATCACCACCACCATCATCATCATCAGCATCATCGTCATTGTTATCATCAGAGTGAGGGGGCCGCACGGTCATTCACTGTCCCTGGGTGCGTGGCTGAAATGGGATTCCGCGGTGCGGATTCTCATTGTTGTTGTTGTTGTTGTTGTTGTTGTTGTTGCTGTTTGTTGCTGTTTGTTGTTGTTTGTTGTCGTCGTCCCACCCACAACCCGCCCCGCGACCCACCCGCGACCCCACCCGCGACCCACCCCGCGACCCACCCGCGACCCACCCGCGACCCACCCGCGACCCCCCGCGACCCACCCCGCGACCCACCCCGCGACCCACCCCGCGACCCACCCGCGACCCACCCGCGACCCACCCGCGACCCACCCCGCGACCCACCCGCGACCCACCCGCGACCCACTGCCACCCATCCCGCGACCCGCCTGCGGCCTACCCCGCGACCCACCCGCGACCCACCCGCGACCCTCCCCGCGACCCACCCTCGACCCAAACCACGTTCAAGGTACAAGCCATAATTTTCGGCGCGTGCGGCGGGTTTTTTTGCATTCCTTCCAGGTGGAGAGCCCGCGACCAACTCGCGACCAACCCGCGACCCAAACCACGTTCAGGGTACAAACCATATTTTTCGGCGCCTGCGGCGGGCATCTTTTGCATTCGTTTCAGGTGGAAAGCCCGCGGCCCACCCGCGACCACGTTCTGGGTAAAAACCAAATTTTTCGGCGCCTGCGGCGGGCATCTTTTGCATTCGTTCCCGGTGGAGAGCCCGCGGCCCACCCGCGACCCATCTCACGTTCAGTGTACAAACCAATTTGTTCTGCGCCTGCGGCGGGCTGCTTTTGCATTCCTTTCAGGTGGAGGTGGAGAGCCCGCGACCCACCCGCGACCCAAACCACGTTCATTGAACAAACCAATGCCGCACAAGCGCGGCGGCGGATTTTTGCATGCCGCCTGAGCCCGCAACGACCTCTTCAAGCCCCGTGCATCCACACCAGCCCGTCCAGCAACTTTGCCCTGGCGAGTTGCCTTGATCAGAAGAGTCGGGGAGCATAACATGGAAAAAAGGATTGCGTTGCCGTTATCTTGGGAAAAGGAAGGGGAGGCAGGAGGAGTAAACAGGGGACGAGGAGGACGCGAAAGAAGAGAGGATGTAAGGAGAATGTGGAGTAAGAGGGGGAGGAGGAGGAGGAGGAGGAGGAGGAGGAGGAGGAGGAGGAGGAGGAGGAGGAGGAGCGGAGGAGGGGGAGGAGGGGGGGAGAGGGGAGGAGGGGAGGAGGGGGAGGATGGAGGATGATGATGATGATGATGATGGACGACAATGGGAGGACGATGATGGAGGCCGATGAGGGGGTGGACGACAATGGGAGGACGATGATGGAAGGACGAGGGGGGGAGAGGGAGGACGAGGAAGAAGAGGAGGAGGATGACGAGGTGGAGGAGGAGGAGGATGACGATGACGATGACACGACGAGGACGAGGACGAGGAAGAGGAGGAGGAGGAGGAGGAGGAGGAGGAGGAGGAGGAGGAGGAGGAGGAGGAGGAGGAGGAGGAGGAAGAGGAAGAGAGCGCCATCGACAGGGAAGGTGGGGGCCACGAGGTCCGCCGGCTCGACGACGCCCGCGTCGCCCGTGCCCGTCCCCTCACTCTTATCCGCAATTGCGGGGTGCTACGTCATCATTATTCTTATTATCAT